ATGTTCTTGTATTGCTGCCATCAAATCTGCTAAGCTGTAGTTTGATTTGCCACTTCTCGTTTCTATGTTTTTTCTTTTCAGTCCCACTCTCTGACTCCAGTTTGTTATGTATCTGCTCGTTTGTTAATTAATGGTATAAATTCTTTCTGAGGAACTTCAGCGATACAAGTCCATTCTTGATCAAACAAGTTTATTCTTTCTCGATACAAACTTTTAGTACACAGTAATTCCACAGTCAGTGCGGTTCTCGTCACTTTAAACTTAACAATTTTTATAGTACATGCTATAAATCGCAGCTATTCACAATCTCGACAACTTCACTCTCTATGAGTGCAAAACACACACTAGCTCGAAACAGAATCGTAAATTACACGAAACTCACCGTAACTACTGTTCACTTTATCATCCCCTGGCTTTTTCCTGCTAGGCTTATATACTAACGAAGAGGCATCTCCAAAATTCGCGGACTTCCCCGATAATTCGAGAAACTCAGTCAAGCATGCGCCAGCAGCGTCACGTGACTTCCACTGTCGTAACAGGGTGTTTTAACGAACGTGTGTAAACACTAGGAAAGAAGATAAAAATTATTGCTACGACAGCGGAAGTCACGTGGCGCTATCAACACGTCATGATATTCTAGAAGGATCATGTCTGTTCGTGGCAACTGTGGTGTTTTCTACACGCCCTCTATTCTTGTATATAAGTGTGCCAGATAAAGCAAAATTAATTAATCGAAAATTGAATTGCAGACAGGCAGAGATGAACAATTGAGTCAGGCCCTGCATGGCCAGGTGGTTAAGGCACTCGACTCTCAATCTGAGGGTCACGGGTTCGAATCCCCGTCCCACCAAACATGCTCGCCCTTTCAGCCGTGGGGGCATTATAGAGTGACGGTTAATCCCACTATTCGTTGGTAAAAGAGTAGCCCAAGGGTTGGCGGTGGGTGGTGATGACTAGCTGCCTTCCCTCTAGTCTTACACTGCTAAATTAGGGACGGCTAGCGCAGATAGCCCTCGTATAGCTTTGCGCGAATTCAAAAACAAACAAACAATTGAGACAAGCGTGGTAGTGCCTGTAAGTAAAGTGCGTGAATCGTTGTGAATTATAGCGTATGTTTAAGTTAAATTGACTGTGGAAATTACGTGTATTGCAAAGTTGTATTGAGAAAGAATAAACTAGTTTTATTTAAGAAAGGACTTGTATCGCTGAAGTTTTTCGGAAAGAATTTCTACCGAAAATTAACCAACGACCAGAGACGTAACAGTAGTGTTACGACAGTGGAGGTCACGTGACCCTAGTAACACTTCACGCGCTTCTAGAACGCTCATGAAGCGTCGGGAGACTACTAGATATGGGGTAGTGTTGTATATATAAGGCCGGCCAAGAAGCGAAGGGAACAATTTGTAATTGAACCGCGGAAAGAGTATTGCTGAGTTGAGCACGTGAGACGTTCGTTGTGAATTATAGCCTTTGTTATAGCGCGACTGTGGAAATTAAGTGTATTGCAAAGTTGTATTCAGAAAGAATAAACCAGTTTTATTTAAGAAAGGACTTGTGTCGTTAAAGTTTCGTCGGAACGAAATTTACGGAAAATTAACTAACGAACGGAGACGTAACAGTATGAATGACTAAAATAAAAATGATAAAAAAATGGTTCAAGCCCCTCTGACTGAGTTAAACCGTTTCTGTCGCTGGTCTTTATTAACATTTTTTATTTGTGTGTGTTTCTCTGTGATATTTTTTTATAATTCACAAATTTTACATTTGCTATTATGTTAAATTTATATTAAAGTTTTTCTTCATTACTCATTCAAGCAGTTTTCAAGCATTATTTCTCTCTTTCTTTTCATTTATTAACTTTATTATTTTGAGATCGGGTGCATGTAATTTCAGTTTTGCTATTGATTAATTTTAATATATGACATATTCATGCGGTTAGATTAGAAGAATGTGCATACTGATCGAAATTTAATATACATATTTAATTATTTACAAATTACAGATACTTTGCTTGATAAAACATATCTATTATTGTTTGTTGAAATCAGCAGATGCTAAAAACGCAATAGAAAATTTATTACTTAGTTTGTTTGTGGTTAAGTACAAAGCTACACAATGGGTTATCTTTGTTTTGCCCATGATAGATATCGAAATTTATCCTTCAAACGTAATCTTGAGTCACTGTGTGTGGGAAGGTAGGGGGACAAAATAAAAAACAGCGATAATCACAGTTTTTCTACGCTAGGGGGAGGCATGTAAAGCAACGTGGCAAAGTCAGATAGACTGATAACTACAATAACTTCTTTGCTATGTGTCATGAGTTGTTTGTAGCACTGTTATAACAGTAGTTATTTACGTTTATAACCACAATAAAAAGCCGGTGAGATTTTCTTTGGTTTCCTTAAATTTAGTTTTCTTTTTTTGTTTGAAATTATGCAGTGTTAACAATGGCAACCATTTTTCGATTTTGCTTTGTACTTATTGTTTTACTTCAACTTGTTCCTAAGTGCCTCACCCAGACTCGGAGGTCTGGCAGTGGCAGTCTCGTTCAAGTCGAAGACGTTTCAGATCAAAAGAATTCAAAAAGCTTCTAAGGGTTAAAACAAATGTTCTCGTATTGTTTGCCAAGTCGGTTAGGGATACAAGTGAAGTTAGAAAGATTATTTCGGATGTGGCAATAGAAATGAAAGGACAAGCAACTCTGGTTTTCGTTGATTGTGGCAGCGAGGGAAAAAAGCTGTGTAAGAAATTTAAGATATTTCCTGATCCATTTGTTCTCAAGCACTACAAAGATGGCGAATTTCACAAAGACTATGACAGAAAGACAACTGTGAAGTCTCTGGTGAATTTTTTGAAAGATCCATCTGGTGATATTCCTTGGGAAGAAGAAGAGTCTGCTCAAGACATAATTCACATTTCTGATGTAAATAATCTTGAAAAGTTACTTCGAAAAGAAAAAATTCCAATCATGGTGATGTTTTATGCTCCTTGGTGTGGATTTTGTAAGAGACTAAAACCAGACTACTCTGCAGCAGCTACAGAATTGAAAGGACAATCAATTTTAGCAGCCATGGATGTCAACAAGCCAGAAAATAGCATAGTCCGTCATCACTTCAACATAACAGGGTTTCCAACACTTCTATTCTTCGAAGATGGAAAACTTAAATATAGGTATGAAGGAGAAAATAGTAAGGATGGTATTGTAAATTTTATGAAAAATCCAGGCAAAGCCCCAGAAAAACCTAAAGAACCAGAATGGTCAGAAGTTTCAAGTGATGTTGTACATCTCACAGATGCAAGTTTTAACAGTACCATTCAAGAAGAAGAATCTGTGCTTGTGATGTTTTATGCACCATGGTGTGGACATTGCAAGAAAATGAAGCCTGAATACATAAATGCAGCTTCAAAGTTAAAAGAACAGAATATTCCTGGAGTTTTGGCTGCTGTTGATGCTACAAAACACAGAGAGGTTGCAGATCGTTTTAAAATTACAGGTTATCCAACTGTGAAATACTTCAAAGGTGGTGAATTTGCATTTGATGCTAATGTAAGAACAGCTGACAAAATAGTGGAATTTATGCAAGACCCCAAAGAACCTCCTCCTCCACCCCCACCTGAGATACCTTGGCATGAAAAAGCAAGTGATGTTGTACATCTTAATGAAGAAAACTTCAAAACATTTCTGAAAAGAAAAAAGCATGTTCTTGTTATGTTTTATGCACCCTGGTGTGGACATTGTAAAAATGCTAAACCGGAATATGAAGCTGCAGCAGCACACTTCAAAGATGATCCAAAAGTGGAGCTAGCTGCTATAGATTGCATTGCTCATGCACCTATTTGTAATGCTAATGATGTAAAAGGATACCCAACTTTTAAGTATTTCAGCTATTACAAGACTTCCAAAGCATATGAAGGAGGACGAAAAGAATCAGATTTTGTTGCATTCATGAAGGATCCACAAGCTCCAGTGGCTTCGAGTCATCCTTCTCCTCCTCCCAGCTTGACTCCTGAACAGTGGTGGACCGAACATCCTGGTGCTGAAAATTTACATCATTTGACTAGTAATAACTTCAAGGATTTCATCCAAAAAGAAGTTTCTGTTTTAGTCATGTTTTATGCTCCTTGGTGTGGGCACTGTAAGGCAATGAAACCAGCTTATGCTGAGGCAGCAACAATATTAAAGAAAGAAGGAATAACTGGTGTTCTAGCCACAATTGATGCCACGGGAGAGAGAGAACTAGCTACCTTGTATGAAGTTAGAGGATTTCCTACATTAAAGTACTTTCAGAAAGGAAAAATGATTGCAGAGTATGACCGTAGCAGGACTGTTGAAGAACTTGTTAGCTTTATGAAAAGTCCCCCTCAGCCAAAAGAAGAATTGTGATGAGAAAATTTGAGCTCCATGAATCTGTAAGGGTGTATTTGAGGTTCCTGCTATCTCCACACTAAAGTTGTTTGTTTTACATCCAATTTTAAAAGCTTGGACAATATGTAAATTCTGCTTGATGTATACACATTTAAACTTTTGGCCAGTAATATTTCAGTAAAAGGTATTTCTGGATTTAAGGTGATTAATTATTACTTAACAATAACAAATTGTTTGTATTGTGAGAAAAAAATTGAGGCTGGCTTCTGTTTGCATGTATAAATATATTTGACCAATAATCCATTCCAGAAGATTCTTCCATTTATTATAATAGTTCTGACGTTACAGTTACTGGTCGAGTAAATTTTTTTTTTGTACAAATCCCATGTAATTCATCATATAAAATGTATTAAAAACCTAAATCACTACTTTTGTATGTGCTGTAATTGAGGGAATATAATAGTCACTTTTTAATTCCATTGATTACCATCATTCAGACTTTCTTAATGTGTGTCTAGAACTTGTGAAAGTTAAATTACAAATGTATTATACGAGTTTTCTTTTAACTTACAAAAATAACAACTAATTTTCCTTTATTCATCCATTTCCTATCTTGTATTGCAATCTTGTACTTAAATTTGATAACTATCAATAATAACCTATTTGCAAGTGTCTTTTTTTTTCAACGTTTGATGTAACTTGCAGACCTTAGGAAGTAGGGTATTGTCTCTTCGTTTTACATGTGTGAGAAGGAAATGAGTGGCAACTGTAGCAGTTCTAGTTTTACATATAATTTACGGCCATCAAGGTCATATTAGTCCATCTAAGCCGTCCCATCCACTAATCTAAGATAAAACATTCAAAGCCAGCCCTTATTATTCAAATATTTATCAAGCCTTTCCTGTAATTAACTCCATCCACCACATGTGAAAGCAATCCATTCTTGTTAGAAAAATAAAGGTGATTTAGCTGAAGATGACTGCTATCCTGCCAAAATTTGTGTCCCCTCCTCTTATCATTGTCAGCCTCCCAGTGGCACAGTGGTGTGTCTGTGGACTTACAACGCTAGAAACCGGGTTTCGATACCCGTGATGGGCAGAGCACGGATAGCCCATTGTGTAGCTTTGTGCTTAAGTTCACACAAAAACATACACTTACCATTCTCACAATTAAGTATGGGGAAAAAAAGATTATGCATCAACACTGTCAGTTCCCTTAATCTCAAACATCTCGATCAGATCCCCTCTTAACTCTACTCAGAATTGATGTGATCATCTTGTTTCCATCTAGCAACTGTAAAAGATGAGGAATACTGCATAAATCTCTATTTTAGTATATGTTGTCAAACAAAGTAAATCATTATAAAAAAAGAAAAAACTTGTGTATTTATCAAAAAGCATTTTTTAAAATATTGTGAAAGAGTTTGGTGTTAGTTTGTGAAAAAGAAGTACTCTACATCTCGAGCTGACACTGGCAACTAGGTTAGAAAATGTTATTTGCATTTAAACTATTTATTAACTATTATGTTTATGTCACGCGGATTTGTTTTAATGCATCAAAAAAAAATCAATTTATGGAATGTTAGTTGTGGCTGCAATATAACTTTAAAAGTTTGCAGTAAATTGTTTGAATGTTACAAGATAGTAATTGAAGTGGTGTGTAGTTTACATTAAAACCATTTGTTTTATGGCTTTCTATACTCCTAATTAGACTGGTATATTCAATTATCAATATTGATTACTGGGTTAATTTTTAATTCTAATCTATGGTAGCTTGCTTTGATTGAAGGATGATTATAATGTGCTTTCAAGTATTAACTGTACTGATGTGATTTTATAAATGTAACCTTGATTTTTAGAACCATCATTATGGTGTGTTTTAAATATTTTACTTATTGTATGGGCTAGTAATAAATATCTGTATTAACTAATTCACCCTTTAATGTTAACATATCTTAAATCCCTGTTGTTAAAGTGTGCTTTCCAAATGTTAAAGTACCACAAGGTGTTTTTTACTTATTCAGTAGTGTATCTCCTCTAGATTACTAGTATGTTTTTGGCAACTTTCTAAACCTTTTAATAGAAAACTTAAGGACACACACTTCAGTTATTAAAGCATTGTTTTTTTTCTGAAATCATTGTAACTCATGATAAGGAATTAATTAAAGAAATGCCTTAAGTATGGAGTTTAGTTTTTACCAGGGAAATTTTGAAAGTTGCCAAGTTGGTAACTTTATCAAACTTTCAAGTGGTTGATTATATAACATGACAGTTTAATTTTCTTCATGTTGTGTAGACATTTAAACAAGTTTTGACATTGTGGAACATGATCACAGATTACCCCAGTGTGTGTATTTATATTCAACTGTCCCATTTGTTAGGATAGTACCAACCATTGATGTGTTCATAATTTAGAATATTGAGGTAAAAATCACTTATTAATTGTACATATGCTATTTACCATTATGTTAAGATTTCAGCAAAATGAAAGAAAAAGTCTTAAAATTGTTAAGTTTGAAGATAATAAGCTGCCATGGACAACAGATATGTAACTGTTTACGTAAAAAGATAACTAGTTCCTGTACCCTTAAAAGAGCTTTTTACTCTTACAAGAAAGGCATGTGTTTGGTTGACTGTTTGCAAGACTGATGCCATAGAATTAATTTTACTATATGGTCACGTGTGGAGTCAACTTGTGTTCCATTTTATTGATGCTAGGTCACACAGTTTTGCTAATTAAACTGTTTGAAGAAATTCTAAGGTGTTATTAAACCAACTTAAAATTTAATACAGTTCAGCTTGCTACTAGATTAGTAAAATTTTGTGGCAGTGCACAAACTACAGTTGTAAACACTATAAAACTAATTATTCAAAGGTAGTATGCATTACAAGGCAACTACTTTTATCTAGTTCAACCACTTCTAAAATTAAATGTGCATGGTTCTTTAAATTTTATTTAAAAATTGAAAACAATTTGACACAAATTTTGTAGCCCTTGAGAATGTAATGGTGATTTTTAATTCACAGTGCCTATAATTAGCAGTAATTAGTTAAGCTATTACTTCTTCAAATTTTTTAATGAAGTTATTTGTAAAATGTATCAAGTCTGTAGATAAAGTGTCATGTTAAACTTTTGATCATAATGATTGCTGTGCAATTAAACTGTGTAATTAGGTAAGGAATAATTGAAATTCCAGTTGACCTTAATATTTGTGTGAACTAATTTTTAGCTAGGTACCTTTTTTTCGTATTATATAGTTGAATATTATGTTTATCAAACTTTTAAATGATGCATGTTGATTTATATTACACTTTGATGCTAAAATGTTTGATACGTAAACAATATAACTTTCAGTTATCAACTAAACATAAGAAGAGTGAGGTGACAGAAATCCATTCAGTATATCAGTGTAATATCTAAATCAATTCAAGTATTAAAAGAAAAATTATAGGTAGGTATTTAGTACACCAAAACAATGCTAATCTGTATTAAGATTATATCAAATGCACAAATCTAAATTTTTTCCGGATAGTGTTGAACATTCACTTTTATGGTGAATTTTCTTGTCTTCCCAAATGTTACATCATTCCATGCTTGGAAGTTACAGATTTCTTGCATGATTTTTACTTTGTATCTGTGTGTTAACCTTTCTTTCATAGTTTATTTTCTAGAAATATGTGTAAGGAACAAGATTTAGAATATTATAAGGTGTTGTGGGACCCACTTTGTATCACATGGGACTAGCTTGTAAGGTGTAAGAATTTTTAGCATTTTCCTATAGAAGTAACTATATCACTTGACCTTAAGTGTATACAAAACACCATTGTAAATTCTTTGGTGGTAGTTATTTTTGATAAACTCTTAGAAGTGCTTGTGTTAGTAATTTAAGAGATTCAAGTTCGATGACGAGGAACCCACTTTGAGACCAATAATAGTTGGAGATGGCTTGAATGGGTAATGAAGAAAACTTTAATATAAGTTTAACATAATAGCAAAT